ATTATAATATTTTCGTAAGCGAATAGCATTAATTAGACGGAGAGAGGATATGGCAGGACTGTTACGTGTAGAGGTGGGCTGAGGTGATGAGAGGTTGGTATGGGTTAACATTGGGCTGAGAAGATGATGGCCTCGACTGGTATGAAGAGTCTCGGAGGAGCAGCTGAACATTGGGCCGTCGATAATGGGCTAATATGTGGACTGCATGAAATGAGGCCCCCTCTGGGCCGTAAAGAGGGATTTGATGGTGAATGTATCTCAGAATTAATTGGCAATGACAAGGCAATAACCAAGCTTTTCATGCACCACTAATGGGTGTTTAAAGTGGTTTAAAACTTGAGATTTTAAATTGGATATCTCGAGTTTGAATTTTAAGGTGGATAGGGAAAGATAAAGAAAGAGAAAGGTTATTTGTTATGGATGTTTCTATCTTATGCGTTAAGGATATAAGATGATGGTGTAATAAATACATTTTTTATAATTAATTTTTATTAAAAGTATAAATATTTATTTTAATTTAATCAAATAACTAATTAAAATTATTCATATATAAATAATATTAAAATATATCAATTTTTATAATTTTTAATGTAAATTAGTTACAAAATATACATTTATTATACTATCAACCTCTTATAGGTTAGATAAATCCATTTATTATATACTCCATTATCTAATGTACTAAAAAAAAGCTTTCATATTGGGTTTTTTTTAGTGCATTGATGATAGATTATATAATATAAAATAATTTTTTTTCTTTAATCTCTTTTCACTAGTCGAACTCAAAATCTTTAACCTAAAATTTTAAATTTTTAATTACTTGAAACACCAAATAAACAGCTTCCATTTGGATAAAGCTAAAGAATTTGTTGAAAAAGCAAAATTTTAAATTGAGGTAATTTCTAATTTTTTTATTACGCTATTTTATATTTTATATTTTTTTATTCTTATTTTTTAAATTATGTTTTAATTATTAGTTTCAGCAAATAGCTTCAATAATTTCCTTTTTTTGTTGTAAAATTTTAATATTATATTTAACTTTTTTAATATTAAGAGTTATAAATTAAGTAACATTGGATATATAGTAAATAAATTAAATAAAATAAAAATTTTCAATAGTAATTTAAGAAACGGTAATTTTTTACAAAAAATTATTGCACCAACATAGTCTTCATTGGTAATTAACAATGATTTTTTGTTTTTCATTAACAACTCCATGTAACTCGACAAAATAGTGGTATTGTAGCCCTTTTTTTTTTTTTTTTTTTGGTAGTTGAGAAAGACTGTTGATAAAAGCTTGTCACTCTCGATAAAAGCTTTGTTAGTAAATTTCTCAAAAATAATATTAAATATATGAACCATGATTCATGTACATCCCGGTTCAACATCCGGGAGTGCACACTTCACATAACCAAATAATTTTAAAAGTAAAATTACAAATTTACCATTTCTTTTTTTTTTTTTTTCTTTCGAGTTCTTAAGAGAACCCAGGTCTAGGTTCTCCAGGAGAGCCCAATCTGGGTTCTTCTCGGAGAACCCAATCTAGGTTCTCTTGGAGAACCCAGACCCCCCCTTTTTTTTTCTCTCTCTCTCTCGGTCTAGGTTCTCCGAGAACCCACCTTTTCTTCTCTCTCGATTCATCTCCCTTTTGTAGATCTAGACCATCTCCTTGCATCTCATCATCATCACAACCTCCACCTCCATCACCATCCTCAATCACCATCGAAATAGAAGGAGAGGGATAGAACCATAGATCCCTCTGTTTTCCATCACCATCACCACCATCATCATCGTCATCGCCAAGCAGCCCAAAAAAAAAAATAAATAAATAAAAGGGTGAAGCAAATCTGGTTTCAGAGAAGGAGAAGAGTTTGGCAGCTAAAAACACCAAACAGAAAGGGTTGAGGAAAATAGTGAGACAAGAAGAAAAAGGGTTATTGAGAGGGAGATGACTTTTAAAGTTAAATTTGTAATTTTATTGTTAAAATTATTTGGTTATATAGAGTGTGCACTCCCGAGTGTTGAACCAAAGGATGCACAAAGTATTTTCCTAAATATATATGTTAGTTTCGCCACTGGGTCATGAAGAGCGATTTGATGATGAACTGGAAAGATATACAAATAATGATGCTAGTTTTATATTTTTTAATTTAAAAATATTAACTTTAGTAGTTTTTATTTAATATGATAGATGAATTTTTTAAGTAGAGTATTAAAAGTTGATATTATTAAATAAAAAATTTAAAAATTAGTATTTTAATTTATTTAAAAATTATTATTTTTAAATTAAAAAAAAATACAAAATTAGCATATCTATTTGCACCTTTTCTCATGATGAATGTATCTCAGAATTAATTAGCAATTGACAAGGCACTAACCAAGCTTCCATATTGGACAAACCTGCAGAATTTGTTTCAAACAGAAACAAATAATACAAATCACTAACTACATGAAATTAGACTAATCAATAGTAATTTTTTTAATAGTAATAAAATGGTACAGAAATAAAACATATCACACCTCCAAAACCGATCAATTTAAAGTTAAAGTTATGTGAAATTTCATATATATTACTTAACTCACGCACACCACAATAATGTGGGATAACACCCCACAATCAGGGAGGGGAGTCCCACTCAAGGGGTTAATTTTGTTTATTTTTTTTAAACAGTAGTGAAATGGTACATAAATAAGATATACTACAACTTCAAAACTGATTAATTTAAAGTTGTGTGGAATCCCATATATTAATCAGTAGTAATTAAGTAAAGGAAGATACTTAAGACAACTTTTTTTTTTACAAGTTTACATGTCATTTAGTGTCTATTGAGACTCATGAATACAAGTTTTATTAAGCGTATTTTAGTAATTGTTGTCTAACTTGAAAAATATTATTTTGGTAAATTTAAGTCAACCAGTAAAAAAAGAGACGTAGGAATGTAAGATTTAGGGCATCTTTTGTTCAGG